TACTGTCCTGGGCACTTCCACCCATTTAACTCTACAAATCACAATCCTAAAATAGCTAGGCATAGGTGCTGTCACTTTCATTTTAGAAATGGGGACACAGAAGGCAGAAAAGGTTAAAGAACTTGGCGAAGGTCAGCTGCCTTATATGTGAGCCCAGGCTCAAGCTCTTAACTGCAATGCTTTGCTATAACAGCAGCTCCAGAAGGAAGCTGGGAACCGGTGTTCTAGCAATGTAATAACAGAGCAGAAGACTTACTTTTATTGTGTACCTCATTGGTTGCTTGAATTTTTTTTGTCAGAATGTACGTGTTCCCTGTTCAAATACAATTAAAATTTAAAAAAAAATAAGATTTCAAATGAAAATGGTACATATGCATATACCTTACATCTCTCTTCTCTTTCATTCACTTGGGGAACCACCCGCCCTAGCCAATTTGGGCTGCGCATGCGCTCTCCAAGGGCCTGCCCGCAAGCTTTTGCATTTTCGACCCTTGACTGGATTCCTCTGCCATCGAGGCCCCGGAGGGATTTCATAAGTGGTCCTGTTCCCACCACTCTGCGTCTCTCTGGATCCCTTTAGGGTTCCGACCTGCCCGTCCCTGTCGCCTCTCCTCCCACCTCGGGGAACTCTGAGGCAAAGCCAGTCTGGACCTTTCGTCCGGGGTTCCTTCCGCCTGCAGTGCCCTCGCCGGCCCTTCAGGTCCCAACCGGACCTGCACCCTTTCCTCAGTGCCCTGAACCTCCACAGAACGGGAGCACACGCTTCCAGAGCACACTTCAGGTCAGAGTCATTACTGTACTCTCAGCACATACTTCGCCCAGGACACAGAAATTCCTCCCTGCCGCCCCACCCCACCGTCTCCCGCCGACACCACTGAGGAGGCGGGACCCGAACCTGAAATCTCCGGAGCCGCCCCCTCTCCGGGGCTCTCTTCTCAGCACACCCACGCCTGCCTCCGCCCACGCGCACGCGCACTGAGTCGGGGCCGCCCCCGGAATCCGCATGCGTGTTGAGGCCAACCAGCTCCAACAGCGCATGCTCCGCCGGGCGCTCACGCTCGCGGGACCTGAGCTCAGCTAAGGCCCCGCGATAACTCCTCCTGCTCTTCCTCCTTCGGGCCGGCCTTCTGTGGCTGCCGCTTCCGGGGTGCTTAGGCCGGTTCCGGAGTGGCCGGTCCCTGCTTTCTTACTCTCTCTCCCACACTCCTGGCCTTTCAGACGCCATTTTCGAGCGGGGGCCTGCTGGTGGAACCTCCCCACCCCACCCCCGTCACGGAGAAGGCGCTCCGCGTCCTACGAGCCAATCAGCAGCCGCCTTAGGTAAGGGGCCTGGGTGCCCGCGCGCGGCCCGCTAGTCGATGGGGGCACTTCAGGGCCCGCCCCGTTCTTGACCGTTAAACCGCCGCTCGGACGCCCGCGGGTGTGCTGGCTGGAGTACTGAGCCCAGAGCTGCGCGTTACGTGCGGGCGTGGCGGGACTGGGGTGGGGATAGGCGGGAACTTGTAAAGAGGCACTTTGGTTCTGGGAGCTCCTAATAGAGAGGGCTTGTAAACTGGTTACAAAGGATGCGAAGGTCCTTCCGATAACGTGTCAAGAGAAACCGAAGTTGTGGGAGGACCCTCGCAGAGGGCCTGCAGGCAGACCCTTGAAGAGCAGGGAGGTACGCCAGGTGCCTTCAGATACTGTGGAACTGGAAGCTTGAGTCGTAGGGCTCCTCATGGAGGCCGGTGAACAGATGCCTGCATAGGGGAAGTCTCCTGAATAACGTACAGGCTCATCAGTTCTGGTTGCGGCCCCATGTAGGGACCTGTAAAGACATTTAAGTGTTAGAGAGTCCTTAGAAACGCGTGTAGACTCTTGAGTGTTTCATTGGGGTTGGCGTAAATACGGAGTAAGGAACTGGGAGTCTCCCCAAATAATTTGCAGACAGACACTTGGATTCTGAGAGATCCCCCAAAGGGGGAAAGGTGCCTAAGTACTGAGCAGGCCCCTCCAAAGAAATGTGTAATTAGACTCCATTTCTGGGAGGTCACCGTGGAATCCTGTCATTAGACACTTAAATAGATTGGCTTTATACATTTTGGGGGAATCCCCAGAGGAGCTTGGAAACAACATTGAGGGTCCCCAGATTGCATGTAGGTGGACTTACTCTGGGGAACCCTCCATAAGGGCTGTTAAATAGACTCAAATACTGTAGAGGTTTGCAGAGTAACATGCAAATGGATGCTCATTTTTGTGGGAAAGGGGCCCTCCTAGGTATGTAAACACTTCAGTGCGGGGTCAGAATGTCCACTGAGGCGTGAAAACACACTTAAGCACTGCAGAGGTCGTCAGAATAGTGTCAGACACTTCATTGTAAGGGAGAAAGGAGAGTCCCAAGCTCTGAGGGGTATCTCCTACTGAGATTGTAAACAGCCATTTAAGCCCTGGATGAATCATTTCCATAAACATTTGTAAACAGGCCTTGTCCTCTCCCTGTCTTAAATCCAGTTTGTGTCTGGGGAAGGGGTCACACAGAGCAGTGAGAGAGGAGCTAGACAGGCCTCTACCTGATTATCGGAATTACTCCTGCATCCTGTAAACAGATACTTCAGTTATAGAAAAAGTCATCTCACGGGGACCTGTTAATGTCACTTTGTACTGTGGTAGGATTGGAGGGGATTCATTGACTGATTTAACAGGCACTTAAGAGCCAGCTAAGCAAGAGTTGGCAAACTTTCTCTGTGAAGGGCTTGGGAGTAATTATTTTAGACTCTGCATGGCTACTGTCTCTGTCTCAGCTACTCATCTCTGCCATTGAATCAAGAAGGCAGCCATAGACAGTTTGTAAATTGATGGCCGTGTTCCAATAAAACTTTATGTACAAAAACAGAAGGCAGACCAGATTTGGTCCATAAGCTGCAGCTTGCCAACTTGACCCATGAGCAGCAGCAGATGGCCTTATAGTCCTGTAAACAGACAAGTACTGAGAGTCTTCCCTAGAATGAGGTGTAAACACCTGGCAAAAGTCCCGAGGTACCTGTATACAGATACTTAAGTGGTAGGGAGTGGGTCATAAAGGTAACCTACATTTTATAACGTGAACACTGGTGAGACCTTGGAGTGTAATGGATGACGAACCACCAGGAATGGAAGGTAAATAGACACTGAAATTTAGAAGGATACCAGATGAAAATAGGCCCTTAGATGCNAACATACTTAAGTGGTAGGGAGTGGGTCATAAAGGTAACCTACATTTTATAACGTGAACACTGGTGAGACCTTGGAGTGTAATGGATGACGAACCACCAGGAATGGAAGGTAAATAGACACTGAAATTTAGAAGGATACCAGATGAAAATAGGCCCTTAGATGCCGGAGCCCCACCCCACATATGCCAGTAACGGTTAATCAAAATGTTGTAGGGGGCAAGAATGGCACTGGGTGTTAGTCTGGTGGGGTCACGTTGGACTTGGGTTCTGGCTAGGAAAGAATTCAGAGCCAAGACCCAAACTACAAGAGAACATTTATTTGGTAAAATTACAGAGGTGGAAGAAGTAATTTCTAGAAGAAATGGGCTTAGGAAACAAGTTATAGAGGCAAAGGAAGGGCCTTTGGGACTTGAGAGTGAGGAAGCTACTGGTAACCTGCCTGCGGGAAGGG